TTTAGGCCAATTTTGAACATTTTTACAATTTTTCAGGAAAAAGCATACAATTTTGATAAAGTTTCTATGAATATGCCTACATTTTCATGCAATTGTCTACAAACCAAAATGTTTTTAAAACAAGTAAAATTATAATAATGTTTTATTCAAATCTAAGCAAAACAGTTTCTTGATCTTTAAACGTTTTAATTTCAGTTATAATTAAGTTTAAATAATTTTTATTTAGTTCTTTAATTGTTTTTTCCATCCAAAATGCTAATAAATCTATGAGGCAAATGAACTTTACATTTTCTAATCCAACAATAATTGTGGGTCCATATTTATCTTTCACTTTTTCAAATTCATCAATATTTTTTGTTTTCAATTCCAAATTTTTTAATGGTTTATATTCTTTAAATTTACATTCTCCAGTATTATTAATCTCTTCTAGCAGATCTATTAAAAAAAAAAGATTTAGAAAAATCACACATCAGTTCCAACAAACTAGTTAATAATTTAATTATATGAATATCTGATGTAACCTTTATGTTTTCAAAAAAATAACAATGTTGATTTATTATAAATGGATCATTAATGTTTGTTAGATGATTAAAAAATCTTAAACAATTATCATCAAAATATGGTTTTATACAAAAATAAAGTTCGAAATGTCTAAAAATCATTGTTAACAATTTCTTAAATAATATATTTCTTTTTGTAAAACCGAAATATGCATTACAAATTAATGTCATATTTTGTTCATCCTTAAAATTCAATTCAAAATCAATATTGAATATTTTGTATATAAGCGAACTGATAGTAAAATATCCAATTTGTATAATTCCTTTCACATTTTTAGGTGTTATTTCAAAACTATTATCTAAAATACATAGGCCTAATGCATAAATTTAATTAATTAATTTTTATGTATGATATGGTTGAAAATGATAAAATTGTCTTAATATCCATATACTAAGATTTTTATTCTTATTATTTGTTCTCTTATTTTTTTTCTCAAAAATAATTCTTTTACACATATTACATCCTACATAGCTTCCAATTAATGTAAAATTATTATGATTATGACATATTACACATATCCATTTATATAAAAAAAAACTTATATGTAAATGGGAGAACCAAATGGAAGAATTTATTCACTGTCATAAATGTAAGAAGAAAACTAAAATCATTCATCCAAAAATTTTTTTGAATGAAAAATGGATTATTTAGAATTGCTACTAAATGTTCAATATGTAAAACAAATAAAAGTAAGATAGTTAAAAAGGAACTTAAACCAATAATTAAAAAAGAATTAAATAAAAAAGATCAAATAACTGAAGCTAAAGAAATTCATGCTCCAATCATAAAGAAATTTCCAAAAAGAAAAATAATTACATTAGGTATTGATGATTTATGAGGAGCTGATTTAATTATTATAAGAAATAATGAAAAGGAGAATGATGGCTATAAATATATGTTGAATGTTATTGATACATTTTCCAAATATGTTTGGTCAAAACCTTTAAGAGAAAAGATGGGAAAAATATATCAATAGCAATTGAACAAATAATAAAAGATGCAGTAAAAATTTGCCATAATTCACCAAACTTATTACATACAGAAAAAGGATTAGAATTTATAAACAAAGAATTTAATGAAGTTTTGAAGAAGTGTAATATTAAATTGTATCATACAGAAAATGAAGAAAAATCAAGTACAGTATTATTAAAAAAGATATAACAGAACTCAAAATGACAAAAATGAAAGTTTTATTTGAAATTAATACAAATTTTAGATGGATTGATATTCTTCTAAAAATAGTTAAAGAATATAATAATTTGTTTCATTCAACAATTAAAATGAAATCAATTGATGTAAAATGAAAAGGATGGACTTAGATACATTTTTTAAATATAACCCACCAAAAATAATCACAAAATCTAAATAAAAAAATTATAAGAGTCAGGATAGGAAATAAAAAAATCAACCTTTTCAAATAAATATAAAAACAATTGGTTGAGAGAAATATTTCTTGTTTCCAAAATCAATAATACAAATCTTGTTATATTTAATATTAAAGACTTAAATGATGAAGATATAATTGGTAGTTTTTATGATTATTAATTGAGAAAATTAAATTTTCCACTATATAAATGGAGAAGAAATGTGCAAGATGTAAATTAAATAAAAATGTACAGTATCTGATTTTTCAGAAAGAAATTCAGCAAAAGATGGTTTATATTGTTATCGTAAAGAATGTGATAAATTGTATAGAAAAGAATTATTTAATAATATTAAAGTAATTGAAAGAAATCAAAAAGAGTGTTTAAATTGTAAAGTAATTGAAGGTATAGTAAACTTTCATAACTCTTATTATAGTAAAAATAAAAAGTTTGAAATTTGTATTGAATTTATTAGACATATGTTTTTAAAACCACAATTTTGTGTGCGTGGAAGAAATATTAAATGGGTCAACAACTATTCCATATATTTAGAAAGTAAAATTCATAAAGAAAATATAACAAAAATTCAATAACATAACTGAAATATTTACTACTATTTATTTTTACTAGTTTAAAAAAAGTTACAATTTTATTAAAAAAATACTCTTTAAAATATAAATTGACCAGTAGTAAGTTGATAGCTGATTTTATTGAAAATATACTCTAGAAAACATAAATTAACCAGTAATTAGTGGTATACTATTTATGTTATAAAACTTATAAAATATAATTTCTAAATAAAAATTATTTCTATTAATTAGAAGAATTTTCTCCTAATAAATGGAACGGCAAAATAAAAATATTTTATATGCCCTTATTGTATTAAAAATATATATTCTACAAACTATGCAAGACATTATAATTCAAAGAAAAATTTAGAGAATAAAATTAAATATGAAAATGTTCGGACAAAAACGATCACCAATGCTCATATAAATCTTCAGTACCTGGGGACCGAGCTTTGCTCGGGGAAAATCATTAGTTTACTCTGAAAGCAGTCATAGTATTGCAGATACATGAATCCATTCCCCACACTTCGCACTGTAGTTAGCCTTTACTAATTCTTTCGCCATTTCCTTTGTCGTGGACATGTTTCCATCCCTTCTCATAGCATTTCAGTATTGCAGATACATTATTCTAACTGCTACAAACTGTTTACAGTTCTTACACTCCACACTGCTCGCCTTTTCTACTTCCATTACCCCTTCCTAAGTTGCGGACCTGTTTCCCTCCCATCCCATATCATTTTAGGATTGCAGATACCTTAATATAATCGTCATAAACGGTACCCACACTCCGGATAGCTCACCTTGACTACTTCCTTCACCACTTCCTACGTCTTGGACCTGTTTTCCTCCCTTCCCATAGCATTTTAGGATTGCAGACACCTTATCGAATCGTCATAAACAGTTCCCACTCTCCGGACTGCTCGCCTTTACTACTTCCTTCATCACTTCTTTCGTCGCGGACCTGTTTCCCTCCCTTTCCATAGCATTTTAGGATTGCAGCTACCTTAATCTAATCGTCATAAAAAGTTCCCACACTCCGGACTGCTCGCATTTAATAATTCCTTCATTACTTCCTACGTCGCGGACCTGTTTCCCCTCCCTTCCCATAGAATTTTAGGATTGTAAATATCTTAATCTAATCGTCATAAACAGTTCCCACACTCCAGACTGCTCACCTTTACTACTTCCTTCACTACTTCCTACGTCACGGACCAGTTTCCCTCCCTTCCCACGGCATTTTAGGATCGCAGATACCTTAATCTAATCGTCATAAACAGTTCCCACACTCCGGACCGCTCGCATTTACTAGTTCCTTCACCACTTCCTACGTCGAGGACCTGTTTCCCTCTCTTCTCTTCTCTGAAATATTACATTCTCACTTGTCAATGAAATAGTACTGTATCGTAAAATATTTTCATGGGAACAAATGCAAACAGAATTTTTTATAGCTGAAGGAACAGAGTTAGCACAGTTACTTAATTATGTATGTACTATTCCATGGTTTTATAGTATAATAATAAGATTTTTGCTGGTGACCTTAATGAAGAAAGTAAACAGTCATTTTAAATAATAATCACCAAGTCATTGTTAAGCAATACAAAAAGCTAAAAGTTATTAACTTATTCAGTAAGTGTATACTATTTAATATATGTTGTGTATTAATTGCAATGCTTTGACTGTTGATGAAGTCTTTTAATAGTTTTTTGTTTCTTTATGCAGCCAAAGGATTTTCTTGACTGTAAGTTTTATATTTTAAGGATGCATCTTCTGCTAAGCAACTTAACTATGATCATACATGCAGCCAATGAAATTTTATTTGGTAGGAAAAATATGACAAGTTAAATCTACCTCAGAAACCTTTCAAAGTGATAAATGATAGTTAAACTTTCTCTGTAGAGTTCTAATTTTATAATTTCGTTCAGGATTTATTGCTATGTTTCTAAAATATAATCTCAATTAAAATATTAATCCTTTATTGTTGGATACTGAAGTAAACATTACTAATTTATACTTGCGGTAATATGCAGTTGCCACTCTCTGTTGTATTCTACGAAGAAAGTAAAATTTGGTATGCAATTATTATACATTGTGAAAGTGAAAACTTTGAGAATCTTGGTTAAGAGTTGGCGGCTCAATCGGTAGTGCAATAGAGGAGGAACCCATAGCAGCAATGTCGTAGGGTCATATTAGAGTTATGCCACTAAATACTAATATGTCTCAGTATAGTTAATTATAGTTCTTTACCGGCTCCTCCCTTGCTTTGCTTGACATCTTCTATATGCACTGGCCCAAGGCTCATGTGGAACAGCATATGTGAAAGAATCTGCCTATCTGTATAAAATATTTAATTTTACCTAGTTCTACGGTTTTTTTAGTAATTATAATTAATTCTACATTAAGTTTCATTCCAAACAACACACAACAAATCATGTCATGTTTATTGAATGCCATAAGTCTATATCGCAAGATTTAATACAATATTTTTAACTCAAACAATTTTCTTTAGAACTAGGGAGCTGCATCAGCCTCAGGATACTCACAATTCAAAACAACCTTTTGAGGTACATTCCGGCAGAGATAGGCAACTTGACTAACCTGACTGTACTAAGCCTAACCAACAACAAGTTGCGAAGTCTGCCTATGTCTGTACTCAAGTTGAGACGACTCAAGGCTCTATGGTTAGTCTACAACCAGAGCAAGCCTCTGACTCCGTTAGTCAAGGAGTACGACCCCAAGTCTCACTCCATGGTGCTCACCTGCTACCTGCTGCCTCAAACTGACTATCTGCAAGGTAAAAACTACACATTGTCTAAAAATGCCGTACAAATAAGGTTTTACTTTAATATGATGTACTAATTCTTGTTTATTATAAGAACACAGTTTTAACAGATGATTTGTAAGTACCTTTTTGTTTACAACAGTTCAAACACCGTACATACTTTCTCAGTAGTACTACACTTTATGCTGCAAGGTACCAACTGGTTAACCAAGACATAGAGACATGTAGTAGAGGTGTGTTTTTAATACCACTTCATAAAAAACCCTTTTTATGATTCATAATATTCATACTCATATTATTCATACTTCACAAAGATAATCAAAAGAAGATTTTATGTTTTGTTAAACCAAATAGAAATAATCTAAGACCAATAATTCTTTGGGTGTGTTCAAGTTGGGTGGGTTTTACGTGAGCTTTGAATTATTTTTTTTCATAGAAGACACATTTTGGTTTCCTACATTGAAAATATTCTCAAGTTTCTCATTTTTCAAATAAATTAAGTATTTACTTCATCTGCTATCTTTTATTAAACTGGAAAGTAGGCTTCTACAGTCAAAGTAAAGTGTCAACTCTTGCTCTTTTAGAGATGATCACATTGTTGTTAATCATTGTTTGTTATCTTTTTTAGTATTGTTAAAAATTGTAGCATTACATTTCTTTTAAGACACATTTAATGAATTATTATTTAACCATATACCATTCTTTAAATCGACCAAGCTGTTTCCTATTAATGAAAAATTAAATGAAATATTTTTTTGTCATACAGAGTGATACGAGTAGTGTTCACTAGTAAATATATGAAATGTCATTTTATTCACAAATAAATACATTATATCATGGATTTGATTTTATTGTAATTAGTAATTAGTAAAAATAATTTTTAAAAATAGCCATCTTTTCTGTCAACTTGATTTAGTTAGGGAGCTGGTTGTAGAGTTCCCTACCCATATACAAATGAGCTTTTTCATAAATAAAACTTCACATTTATATAATCTTTTTTATTTTTTTTAGTTATCCATTAATATAAATACAGGGTGAGGCAATGAGAAAGCCACAATTTGTTTTAGCTGTCACATGTTAATTGTTGCAACAATGAATTAACAGCTGTTCTTATAACCACAATTATGCTATGCCATTTTAGTAAACATGGCACTTTGGAGTCCTGAACATCGTTCTTTTGCTGTGGAAACTTTTTTAAAGAATAGTGATTCTTTTGTAAAGACAGACTCAGAGATTTTTTAGAACATATTTCAACGTTGAACGACATGGTGCTGTTCCAGATCGGAAAACTATAGGGAACTGGGTAAAATTACTAGGCCTGCCGGAGTCGTGACCAAAGACTGGTATAACACACACAAAGACTGGTGCTGGGGAACACACGCTCAGTCCGGAACTGCACAGTTTGGAGTTTTTCAACTCTTTTCTAAACGCACTTCTTAAATTATTTATTTTTTAACCACAGTGTCATTTGTGGCTTTTGGGTCAGCCTTCTTCACAAAATCCAATAATTATTGATAGGCTGCTTCCCTCATTTCCCTGTTATGGTACTCTTTACTTTTAATTTTCCATATGCATTCGTGACCTCAGTATTTCTCAATGAATTCCAGTGTGAAGGCTCTTGACCAGGTAGACATGATTAATGTGGAGTACTAACGAAATCACTACACAACACTACAGCGCCAAAATCCAAAAACTATACCAACAAAACAACAAACAACACAGCTCCGATTATGCTTTCATCAGTAGTTGACTCACAATGAAGAAAGGATGTGTGCGAAAGCGATAATGCTTAAAATTTATAGGGGGAGGGGGAAGCAGCACTGTCTTGGACTGCGGGATTCGCCATACACGTTCAAATCGGCCTCAAGGCCGTCTGGCCAACGATCTGCCTGAAGGAATCGACATACACGTTCAGTTTTTCCTTCAGTCCAGGACTGTACAGTCCGGGACTGAAGGAAAACCGGAACGTGTATGGTAGGCCTTAGAAGTACGGCATCAACACAAAAAAATTGTGGAAGCTGCAAGACTCTACGTACACCAACCAATGGTGAAAAAGTGCTAGTTGCTGTAACCCGAAGTCCAAAGAGGTTCGCCAGGAAACAAGTTTTGGCACTTCAGATTTTCAACAGACCTCTATGAAGAATTTTGCATTAAGATTTTCATTTCCATCCTTACAAGATTCAACTTGTGCAAGAACTTAAAGCACCAGACTACAATCGAAGAGTAATATTCTGTGATCAAATACATACAGTCAAAAATCAAGTGCCAAATTTGTCGGACCTGTTAATAATGTCTGATGAAGCATGAAGCACGTGAAGCACATTTTTACCTTTTTGGCCACGTCAAGAAACATAGGGATCGGAGGGGGTGAGCACACATGTCATACGCGCTTCCGACCCGTCTCCGATTTTCTCCACCGGGTCGACCAACAATCGCCAGCCTGTTGCCAAACAACCAGCGACAACAGAACCGCTGCTGCTTCTGTGTACTACGTGCAGAAGGTGGTAAACATGTTCAAAAACTTTGGACTTTGGGATTCAGCCATGATGGCGGTTTGTCTAGATGAAGAGGAAGAAAGTCAGACATCTCTGGAGGGCAGTGGAAAACGAAGAATTTGGGTTCATTCTGCATGCAAAGAAAGTTAGGTGGTTTACTTAAGTGCCCATCTTATATATTAAGCACATTAGGGTTTCTCTCTCAAGTTCGTTTGGCTCTTCTACCCGTCCGATTTTCATGATCGAGGTCTCAAATTTAAGGTATGCACGCACAGATTTCACATCAAGGATCGGCATATATTTATCTTAAATCATTATTCTTAAAACTTAAGAATAAAGGTGATTTCTAAGAAACAACCCGTCCTGCATCCGACAAACGAATAGACTGCAGTGTCGGTGCATGATCGGAGTCAAAATCGGAGTAGTATCGGAGCATGACGTGACGCGTGTCGGAGAGGTGTAAACACCCGCGTTTAAAGTTAAGTAACATTCCCCTCTCCGACAGTCGTACCACAGTATGATCGGAGTCGGATCGGAAGGGTGTATGACAAGTGTGTCCCCGCCTTAAGCCTTTACACAGCCCTAAAATGACAGTCTGGTGTGGAGAGAATTTTTGGACGCTACTTCTTTACAGATAATGGTGGTAATTCAGTAACCGTGAATCCAGATCGATATGTGAACATGTTAAATAACTTTTTTATCCTACATTTGGAGGAGTTGGAAATCGACACAGAGCAGCTCTACTTCCAGCAGGATGGAGAGTACACACAGCCGATAACTCCATGACCGCACTCAGGTCATTTGAAGGTCGTTTGATTTCAACATTTGGTGACATACCCTGGCCAGCTCGATCACCAGATTTGTCTTTTGTGTTTTCGTTCTATGAGGCTATTTAAAGTTCAAGGTTTATCAAATATGTCCCAAAGATTTGCTTAAATTTGCAAAGAATCGCCGAGGAAGTTCAAGCAATTCCTCAAGAAATGCTGGAACGAATATTCAACGGGTTTTCCAAGCGAGTCGAGGAATGTCAACGTGTTCAAGGTCGTCACTTAAATGATGTAGTTTTTAAGAAATGAACAAATGACTATCAAGTTTAAATGGCATTAGATAACCTTTGCTTTAATATTCTATTTATGTGTATAGTGTAAATAATATTAAATTTGTGTTATTTATAAATTGTGGTGTTCTCATTGCCTCACCCTGTATCATGATTCTGGTTTGATACCCAGAAGCTTTGGTTGCTATTATTTCTTGCATTGCAATTTGCAATATCTGTTCAAATAAACATTGTACTTTTTTAAAGTTGAAACCAAAAGCTTTAGTTTTCATGTTTAATTTAATTTAAATTTAAATTTTACTGTGGAATGAAACACAGTAGAATAGTTATAAGCTATAAAGTAATCTGTTCTAACTTCCAATGTGTTCCAGACTCCTTCACGTATGTTCCTGGCGATGAAACGCCTGGCAGAGCTCAGAAGCAGAGGAGCCTCGACAGACCAAAGATAAGGTTTTCTATAAGTACAACTCAGGAGAGGCAAAGTGTGTTGATGAGAGCTCCAACTCCTTATCCCAGGAAACTTAGAGAACTGGCTAAATTTGCACGAGCTATAACATCACAAACAAATAATTCACAGCTTGAACAAGTGAGTTGTGATATTTTAATGTTATCATTAACACAGGTTAATAATGCTTCCTAAAAAAGACATTTTTAAGGTTGGGTTTATCAGGTTATGTAGAGTTTGTTTACGATTTTTATCTTGTTGTTTAACGAACTTCAAATTTTGAAACTAGATTAACTGAATATAATCTCTTTGTAAACTATTGCTTAATCAAACTATAGAACACTAACCATAGAATAATAGAATATACCCTAAAATAAGAGAGGAATATTTGCTGAAATAAGCACACTCAGATGTTACCAACATGAAATATATATATCAAAACAGGCCTCGAGCTTAACAATCTGATGAGAAGTCTATGAGTTCTGTCCATTGTCTCATAGTTTTCATTTTATGGTACTCGTATAAATTACCTTGGGGTTAGTGAATCTTAGTAATTTTTCTAGACCTAGAGTGAATATTCTTTTTTTAAATCTGTCCAGACATAAATCTTAGTTTTTCTCTTACTATGCAAGTTAAAAAATCCAAAATCATCATGAAAACCTGTTAAGCTAATAATATCAAATATTCAAAGTATAATATCAAATATTAAATATACCCCGCCGCAGCAAACCTGAAGATAAGCGAATTTCCATTTGCCTGATTTGATTTTTAATTACAGTAGAACCTCGCTAATCCGACCTCTGATGGTCCAACTCCTTGCTTGGTCCAACGGTGCCACCAACATAATAGACTTCCGCTAACTTGTGTTTTTTTTTAGTCTAATGTGTTGAAATTCGTTGTATATTTAACCATGTCTGCCCATTATTAATATTAAGTAGGCTCCCACATTATTGTTTTTGAAAAATCACGGTTCATTTGATAAAAATAAAATGGAAGCAAAACAAAGGAATGCCGATCTAAGCTTCAAGGTCAAGCTATCCGTTTGCACTGACAATCGTCTGCTCCTTAGGCCTACACATGACACATCTATCTGCTGTGCGCTTGCTATGTCACAACATTTGTGATTGGGTATTTGGTAATCATGACAACCTTAGTGGACTGTGATTGGGTGTTAAGTAACCATGGCAACTTGTTGAATGGGTGGATGAAGAGAAACTTAAGAAAGAATAGAAGAACAAAGAGAAAGAATACGCAATGTTTTTATGTCAGTGTTATCTTTATAAGTAGACTACTAGTATTTTACACTTTTTTTATGCGTTATCTAATGTTTTTATCGACATTCTTCCGTCCTGAAACAGCGTAGGGGTCGCCGGAATTCTACCCCCGGATATTTACCCCCATGAAAAAACGCCTACGTCATTTTGACGTCACGAGGGGCGGGGCCTATACACGGTTGAGTATCAGTCCGCGACTGGAAATCTACCCCCAGACATCTACCCCCGGAGATCTCCCCCGGAGATCTACCCCCGGAAATCTACCCACGGTCAGCTCTGCAACGTATCGGCCAATATTCATTGTTGTAATTTGTAGTAGAAGTCATTATAGTTTCATATATGAACAGTCATAATTATTAGTAACGGAAGAGTTATTATGTTTTGCGGGGTGGCTGCACTGTGCACTGAGCCCTGAAGTGGGATGATTCGTCACGGCTCCTTCTTCTATGTCCAACAGCGATCGTAAGTGGTTCTTTTATAATTACTGTCCACTTTTCTAGCGTAACGTTAGGTTACGACATTTTGGCGCAGTCGGTAATAAACCTTTTTATCATAGTTAGGGTAGTACGCGATAACAGTTGTTGTTTTAGTGCGTATTATAGTTGAGATGATTAAAAATGGCGAGTATTAGTGTTGGCAGGATTTCTGAATTTAATCCAAGTGAGGAGGACATTGTGCCCTATTTGTTGCGCCTGAAACATTTTTTCAAAGCGAACAACGTTTCAAGAAGGAGAACGAGGTGTCGGTTTTAATTACAGTTATTGGTCCCAGGGTTTTATCGGTCCTATCCGATTTATTATCACCGGTAGAGGTAGATTCTAAGACCTATGATGAACTTGCAGCGTTGTTGAAATTACATTATGCGCCCAAGAAGTTGGTTGTGGCGGAGCGATATGTATTCTACTCTCGTGTGCAAAAGCCGGGCGAAAGCATAGCGGAGTTTGTGGTTTCAATAAAACATTTAGCTAGTTCGTGCAAATTTGGTACCTTTTTGAAAGACGCTTTGAGGGACAAAGTGATTTCCGGCATTTCTAATGAAACTATCCGGCAGAAATTGTTGTCGGAGGAATTGGACTTTGACGAAGCTTATGCGTCAGCGCTCAGGCTAGAACAGGCCGAATCGCAGTCAAGCCTATTTGTGCAACCTCGTGGGGACATTGCGAAAATCAATGTGAAAAGTCAAAATAGGCCTAAAACTTTCATGCATAGGAGTAGTGAAAATCAAAATTCTAGAAACTCTTGCTGGAGGTGTGGTTCTGCGGGTCATTGGCCTAGTGCGTGTGCGTTCGCCAGTTACAAGTGTCACGGTTGTCAGAGAGTAGGTCATCTCAAGAAAGTGTGTAAAGCCAAGAAATCTTCTAGTTTCCATGGTAAAAAGTCGACACCTAGGATGGGGGTCCATCAAGTGGAGGAAGAGGTGGGCCTAGGCCTAGAAGTTCCAATGGCAGAGATAGGTCTGTACAACCTTAAATCAGGATCAGACAACGGCTATAAGGTAGGCCTAGTGGCTAATGATGTATATTTAGAAATGATTCTAGATACAGGCAGTGCCTTGACTATATGTCCTTCTGAGATATTTTATGAAAAATTCTCTAACCTCAAACTTAGGCCAGCAAATGTGAAACTTACTACTTATTCAGGTCATGATGTACCTGTTCTGGGACAAGTGAATGTCAATGTTAAATATAATAATCAGCAGGCGAGTTTGCCTTTGACAGTAGTTAGTTTAGAAAGTAAGAGTCAACCGATTCTGTTGGGCCGAAACTGGTTAGGTCAGTTGAGGTTAGATTGGCAAAATGTGTTTTCATGTAAAGCCACTGTGGATCACAGTTCTGATTTGGACATTGCTAAATTGAAGAGTAAATTTAAGTCAGTTTTTCAGCCTGGAACAGGCGAAATTAAGGGTGTTAAGGCTCATATTGTCTTAAAGGAGGGGACAGTCCCTAAGTTTTGTAAGGCGAGACCAGTGCCTTTTGCGTTAAGGGAGAAAGTTGAGAGTGAGTTGGACCGCATGGTTCAAGAGGATGTTGCGTACAGAGTTACTAATTCACAGTGGAGCACTCCACTTGTGGTTGTCCCTAAGCCTAATGGTGTTAGGCTTTGTGCCGATTATAAGATTACTCTTAATCAGTGTATTGAAATGGAACATTATCCGCTTCCTCAGGCTCAAGATATTTTTGCAACTCTAGGCGGTTGCTCAGTTTTTAGCTGCCTTGATCTTTCAAATGCGTATCAGCAATTGGCGGTAGCGGATGAATCGCAACATCTGTTGACCCTAGCTACCCATAAGGGTCTGTATCGTTTAAAAAGGCTACCATATGGTTTGTCTTCAGCTCCTGCAATATTTCAGTCAGCCATCGACCAAATTTTAACAGGTCTTCCAGGAACGGTGGCGTACTTAGATGACGTCTTAGTGGCGGCTCGCTGTAAGGAAGAGGGGCTTGCCCGTCTGGCGCAGGTGCTGCAACGCCTTGATGAGTTTGGTGTTCGAGTAAACCAACAAAAGTGTAAGTTTTTGCAATCTTCAATAGAGTATTTAGGACATGTGATTACTCGAGATGGTCTCCGTCCACAAGAAAGTTTGTTAACTGCGCTGCGTAAAGCGCCTGAGCCTAGTACTAAGGAAGAGTTACGAGCATATATTGGTCTAATAAATTATTATCATGCATTTATACCTAACCTGTCTGCTAGAATAAGCTGTTTTTATGACTTATTACATAAGGATCATCCATGGGTGTGGTCGGAGGTGTGTTCTAAGACTTTTCAGGAGAGTAAATCATGGGTGTTGGACTCAAGTTTGTTAGTTCACTATGATGTTAAAAAGCCCATAGTTCTGACGTGTGATGCGAGTCCCAGAGGGGTGGCTGCTGTTCTATCTCATCTTATCGATGGGCAGGAAAGGCCAATTGCCTTCGCATCGAAAACGCTAAGTTCCAGTGAACGGAATTATTCCCAGTTACATCGGGAGGCTCTGGCTTTGATCTTTGGAGTCAAAAAGTTTCATAAGTATATATATGGAAGACACTGTATTCTACAGACTGATCATCAGCCGTTGACGGCTATTTTTGGCTCTAAAAAGGGCGTTCCTAGTATGGCGGCAGCTAGGCTGCAGAGATGGGCCTTGATTCTATCAGCATATGATTTGGAGGTTAGGTACCGGAAGGGAGTGGATGTCCCTCACGCTGATGCGTTGTCTAGGTTACCCTTAGCAGAAGCGGAACCTATAGAGCTGGATGCTAATTTTGTTTCACATGTAGATATGTGTACAGAAGTGATGAACAATTTCTGTGTTGTCAAGGACATTGCACCTATTACTGCCTTGCATATAGGTAAAATGACGGATAAGGATCCGATTCTTTCGAAGGTCCGAGATTTTGTGATGTACGGCTGGACGAGCTCGGTTGAGCCGGAACTAGCTATTTTTCTAAGGAAGAAGGACGAGTTGTCCGTGGAACAAGGTTGTTTGCTGTGGGGTTCTCGTGTAGTGATTCCAAAGAAACTGTATTCATCTGTGCTTCAAATGTTGCATGATCAACACCCGGGAGTTACGCGCATGAAGATGCTGGCGAGAAGTTATGTCTGGTGGCCAGGCATGGAAAAGTCGATTGAGGACGTAGTGGCTTCTAGTTCTGCTTGTCAGTTAACTAGGAATTCGGTACCTAAAGTACCGTTGCAGCAATGGCCTACAACATCAACCCGATGGCAGAGGATACACATTGACTTTGCGGAGGATCCAGAGTCGAGACAGCAACTTTTAGTTTTGATTGACACATACTCTAAATGGTTAGAGGTATTTATCATGAGTTCCATGAATTCTTCCAAGGTTATTGAGAAACTCCGTACCTTGTTTTCATCGTATGGATTGCCTGTCGAACTGGTGTCGGACAACGGAAGATCTTTTACTAGTCAAGAGTTCAAAACCTTTTTGCATAACAACAATGTGAAGTTCACATTAACTCCCCCGTATCATGCGGCTTCAAATGGATCTGCGGAGAGAAGTGTTCAGGAGGTCAAGAAAAACCTTTTGCGTCAAGTGATTGAGGAACATCAGCGTTCTCAGCGTACCACTCTTCAAATGAAATTAGATAATTTCTTGTTTGCGTACCGCAACACTCCAAATACAGTTACTGGCTTAACCCCTGCAGAAATGTTCCTGTCTTGGAAGCCTCGTACTCAGTTGGTTATGTTAAAACCCAATCTCCAGTCATCCATTGATCAAAAACACAGGGAACAAAAAGATGCAGCTGATAGGCTTAGGGGAAGAAGCAGATTTTTCTCAGAAGGTCAGGCAGTCTATGTCAAAACTGTCCGAAATGAAAAGATATCTTGGGTTCCTGGCAAAATAATTCTAAAGAGAAGTCCGGTCACCTATCTGGTGAGTGTTATTGGTGGAAAACCCCGATTTTGTCATGCGGATCACTTGAGAGCTCGGTATGCAGAAGAGGAGGAGATTTTTGTATCACCCAAGGATCCCGTTGTATCACCCCAAGTACCCAAGAATTCACCCCCGCCGGAGGATCGACCAACTAGTCCCATGATGATGTCACCTGTACCTAGGCCTACTACCAGTCCCAGGGAGAGCCTAGGGCAAGCCCAGCCTCAGCCAACTCCTGCGTCGCCGCTAGCACAGTGCAGCCCACCACCCTCGCTGAGGAAGTCTGCACGGACTGTGCGAAAGCCTCACAGGCTGGACTTGTAAAATTATTAATGAATAATGGGAAGAAGAAATTTTGGTTGCATTTTATTGAAAGTGAATTTATTTTATTTTGAAAGTTGAGTTAATTTTGAATTTATGATATTGACTTTTTTTATGGGGAAGACGAGTGTAGTAGAAGTCATTATAGTTTCATATATGAACAGTCATAATTATTAGTAACGGAAGAGTTATTATGTTTTGCGGGGTGGCTGCACTGTGCACTGAGCCCTGAAGTGGGATGATTCGTCACGGCTCCTTCTTCTATGTCCAACAGCGATCGTAAGTGGTTCTTTTATAATTACTGTCCACTTTTCTAGCGTAACGTTAGGTTACGACATAATTGATTTTATTATTTGCGTTATGTAAATCAACGGCTCTTCGGTTAATCATTACCCTCTAATATCTAGTATTAAGCATGTGATATGTCATTGTCTTGTTTAACATTATCTGTCTTCCTAATATCTTTTCAACTTATATTTTACTGGATATTAGAAGCTAATGATTAACCGAAGGGCCGTTGATTTACATAAACCAATTGATAAAATCAATTACAACAATGCATCTTGGCCGATACGTAGCGTAGCTGACCACAGGGGTAGATTTCTGGGGGTAGATGTCTTGTGGTAGATGTCCGGGGGTAGACTTCTGGGGGTAGATGTCGAGGGGTAGATTTCCAGTCGCGGGCTGATTCTCGACCGTGTATAGGCCCCGCCCCTAGTGACGTCAAAATGACGTAGGCGTTTTTTCATGGGGGTAAATATCCGGGGGTAGAATTTCGCTACCCCCAGCGTAGCAGTAGCCTATAACTAGCAGTAGGTTACTAGAGTTTCTAATGTTCTGTTCTTTACTTTGCTGTACAATGTTTGTTTTGGCAATTTGTTTGCTTGAGTAAAAGTTTGAAAAAGCTGTGATTATAAACGTTAAAGTTTTTATTACTGAACCAAGGAAATGACATAACATAATTATCATGATTTCACAATAGCCTACTAATTGTATTTTTAGATGTAATATGCAAAATATTACATTAACGTCCATTTAGTTTATGAGTTGGAAATAACTGTTTTATGTCATGTTGGATTAACCGTGGTTATCAGTTATCCGTGGTCTGTTCAAAACACAGTTTTACTACGTTTTTATGTCAATAAACGTGTTCCTCTGATAATCCAACCTTTTTGCTGTTCCGACCATGCTCCCGGTCCTGTCGGTGACGGATTAGCGAGGTTCTATTGTAAATCTATTCAAATAGCATTAGGTTTAACGAGTACCTAGGCTTGCTGCCTTCAGGGAGGGTAATACAGTGTGTTTTTAGTAAAATATTTATAGCTTAGTATAAAATAAATCGATTTGAAGGTTTGATCCAAATATACCCATAAACAAGCAAAAAACAACAGTTTACTAATTCTCCATAAGAATAACATGGGAATTTTGAATTAACAATTTTCTCCGTAAACCAATAATCATAGAATCATTTCAATGTACTAAATTATTTGGTTTTTAAGCTCTTCAAAATGGTCTAGAGAAAATCTGGAAAAACTTTTTTTTTGTTAAACTCATAAAACTATAATCATTCCACCTTTTTTACAGCAAGGAGAAGTTCAAGTATTAAATGCCAATGGTACCAACCCATTAGTGGATCAAGTTCGGACTGCTGTCAAGAAACAAACTCCTTCAGTGGTAAAAGTTTTACACTATATCTATCAATCTATACCCTGTAAAATTATGTTTCAATTCATAAAGTCCCTGTCATATGTATTTTAAGTTTGAATTAAATTGGAGCTTGATAGGCCTTTATGCTATTATTTTCGCTTTAAATGGTTAGACTGTGTGAAGGATTTTTACCCTTAACGATAAATTTTGATTTCTACAAATTTCCCAGAAAGTTTAGAGTATGGCTGTCTTATCCAGGGGTCTAAAGTTAGCCTAATTATCGATTTCCCTATATATCTCGAGGTTTAAGCTTAGTCCGCGGCCACAAAGTACGCCTACAATGGACTCATCATCGCCCACCTCGAGTTTTCGAATTTGGACTTGACCATATGGTCTTTAAGATCAAATTTTCGTGGTAACTAATGTTTACCGTGACCCTACCGACTGATTTGTAGGTTAAGGTAACTATGCGTTACCCTAACTTGTGTGTCACGACTTATTCGGTCATGAGATGGTACTTACCTCGTTCCATAGTCCAAATCCGGTCGAACACAATTCGCTGTGGCAGGGTATTGCCCCTCCAATCAGCTCATCTCCACCGCGAGGTATTCCCTCACGGTACCTAACTCTTCTTTGCTGTGGAGGGGTACATCCCCACCAAGCAGCCTAGCATCGCCGCGATGTATTCTCTCAAACTACCTACCTTCTCTTTGCTGTGGCAGGGTATGTACCCTCCAAGATAGGGGAGGTAGGCTTGGCAGCCCAGTTGCATTGCCGCACGACCTTTGCCCTAACTCGGCCTTTGATAAGCTCGGCCGCTACCTCAATGTTTACTTCTAATTCTAACTCTATATTTCTCTCTCTCTCTAAGACTGACACTATTTTCATTCAAACAATTCAACTAAACTTCCATTGTTATGTACCAATAATACCAGAATAATTTGATTAAATAATAATCCTATTTCTAACTAAACAATTGGGTTATAACCATAGGAATAATTAAAGACAAGAAACAGAATAAAACATTTATTCTTTCACAAAATAATAACTAACTTCTTAAAAAAAATTAATATCTCTTCTTATAAACAAAATTAACTCTAAGGGAAAAATAACCCATAAAACTGTAGATTTATCATAAAAAATTACTAGTATGAAAAATCACAGATTTTCATACTTTTGTTATTTACATGGAAATATTTGCAAAAAAAGACTTTGTAAGCAGTGTTTCCATTCTCGGGATTAAAACGGGATGCGGGATAAAACGGGATTTTCAGCTATGAAGTAAATTTTTATTTTTTTCTATTTAATTTGAGGTAAAAACGAACTCGATAGATTAAACTACTGTAGCAGAAGATAATAGCAATGTCTAAACAACTATTTAAACATGGTACGTCAAATATAACGCTCGGGATTGAAAAAAAAAAAAAAAACATAGTGATAAAACGGGATATTTCATCATTCAAAAGCGGGATTAAACAGAATTTCTCGACCCGGCAAGCGGGATTATTTTTTTTGGTCGTGTGGATACACTGTTTGTAAGACTAAATTGTTAAATAGAATACAAATACAGTAGCCTAGTCTTGATTATTCAACCTTCGGTTATCGAACCCTCCCTGCGCACGATCGATTAAACTTTGAAATTGTGTGCTATTTCTATTTAGTATGACTGTACATTAAAGTGGGTACGTCAAAACAATCTAGTTGTCCACTCGTTGTATATGCATACCTTTCTGCAATCCATTCTAGTATATTCTGAGTATCGTTATAACAATTCTTATTTTTTTTAAGTTGCAGAAGTAGTGTTTTTACTTTATCACTTACTTTTTTATGTAATTTTATAAAGATAGCTTCAAAAATCCATGTTAGTTTTTACAGAAGGAGACTAATACAAAACCTTAAAAATGGCTGGCATCAGAGAAACGTTAATTAAATAATTTTTAGCATAATTACAATGGGTTTTTTTGTTATATTCCGTGTTATCAGACATTTTCGCTTATCTGTCTTTGCTACAACCGGCTTAGGTTAGACGATTGAGACTCTACTGTAATATAATTATCTAAAATAGTAAATAATAATAGGGTGTTTCAGAACTTCCTACCAATATTTTAGGGCATTGTTCCCGGGTAAGAATCATATCTAAATATCATATTTAAATTGTCCGGAAGTCCTTAATTACTCACAAAGCCGTCATTTTGTTTTTTTCACTTATCAATTTCTTCCTACATAATGGTTGGACGTAGGAAATTGAAACTTAGCACAAACATTTATGACAACTAGACAAAGCTACAGAAACATTAGGACAAAATTTAAAATTCATAAAACAAAATGGCCATTAACATTTTTGTTTCTTTAATAACTTAAAAACCGTTGATTTTATAAAACTTTTACAAGAATAACTTTTTTTAGGAAATCTAATTACAAATCTATTGACACCTTATTTATTAATATTGGACGAATATTAACTGAGATATGGCAGCTTTAGTGATACATGACCGCTGGAGGTTAGTTGCTGTGCATGCCAAGGCATACGGATAACGTCTGCCCCAACAATACAACAATCACCGTCCTCTTTGAAAGTTATTTTTAAGCGATTTTAGATTATTTAAAACAATAATAAAATGTTACACAACCCCAAAACTGTATTTTTTCCAATTATCTTAGAATGGCTTACAAATTGCACACCTTTTTACTGTCTTAAAAATTCACACAAAACAACGAAACCTTTTATATCAGCTGTGGTGAAAGTCAACGTACTCGTTTAAAAACTAATCAGCTGATTTATTTGTTGTATGAAGATTTTATTGTTTATTCAATGTTCCTCTAGCTTTTTACACTCACTTTTAAAGTGTACACTCAGTCTAAAAGGTTTAAATGGCCGCCATTTTGTTTTATGAATTTTAAATGTTGTCCTAATGTTTCTGTAGCTTTGTCTAGTTGTCATAAATGTTTGTGCTAAGTTTCAATTTCCTACGTCCAACCATTATGTAGGAAAAAATTGATAAGTGAAAAAACAAAATGGCAGCTGTGTGAGTAATTAAGAACTTCCGGACGATTTAATGATATTTAGAAATGATTCTTACCCGGGAACAATGCCCTAAAATATTGGTAGGGAGTTTTGAAACACCCTGTATTATATATATTCAAAACTTTGAATAAAACACTACGGTGCTTTAAATACATAGTATATGTATATATTAGATCAAAGGTAGTAATTTAATTGACTTTATGTTCTAGGCTAATAGTTCTGTAACGAATGACTTACCCAGAGGTTCAGAAATTCCAGCACAAAGGCGTCATCACCCGCCGCCATACCACATAGCCAAGACCTTCTCCAAACAAGCAAGCCTCTTCCAGAACGACAGCTCATTTCACAGTAAGTTAGTCATTACTTTCAATAATTGTATACAGGCGTGCCCATCCCCCCCTAGACTCATGTCACACCCCCCCCCCCCCCAATTGAGCAACAGCCCCCCCCCCCACCATAAATGAGGTACACAACAAATGAGAAACATTATTCCAATGTCCAGCATAATTTCGATTTTGTAAAACTAAAAGAAGTTTTATACATTTTTTTTAATATTGAAAATTCAAACCCAGATAATCTATATTAAAAAAAGTTTTAGTTTTGTCTGTACATTGCTCAGAATTGCTCAGAACATATTTTGGGTTATTTTTACGTTTTATACATTGAAGAAGTTGAAACATGTACTTATCTCAATTTATGTCCCTCTGTCACGGCCCAGAAGGCATTTTACGCAGCCTACTCTAAAGAAAACTAGAGTACCGATTATGATTCTAATGGTTTAATTGTATTCACTCACAGGATTGGCGAGGGTGTCCTTAGCCGTTAAAATATGGCCTCACTATTTTGGAAATAAAATAACGGACGATCAAAAACCCAATTTTGTGTGATTTTTCAAGTTTTTTTTCTCCATGTTTACTACAATTTGTGAAATACTAATAATCTGTTGAGAAAACACGTCATATATGAAATTACGAACAGCTGTTTTGATAAAGATTCCTTTTTCTAGCTGTGACTGATATGTTTACATAAATGTTTTTTACGGATACTGTGTAGGCCCTAACCATTTCTGATCACGTTTGTAAGCAAATCCAAAACCAAGTGAAATTAATAACAGTGTGGCTTTGGCTTACCTAACAGGTTTTATTTATCACGGGTACTAATATGTAACTGTAAATTAAATTAAATAACTAGCCATCATCCAGGTCGGGAACCGGATATTCTGTGTGTGTCAAGTTGTACTTGAATTTTGAATACCGGGTAAAAGACCGTGAGTCAGTGTTGTACAGGACTGGAAAACTTATCTTTCTATATAAATAAAATTAGAGTTTTTTAAGTCACCTCAATTTAATGATTTTTTTATTGCCAGAATATCTATATAGCGTTCGTAACCTCTGCTTAACGAATTGTCAGCGTCTTTCTCTTGATATAACGACCCCCTCTCCCTCCCTTTGGAAACATCACAGCTCCTTTGATGAAAACGAAATGGAAACTGTCAAATAATAAAGTTTTATAGTGCATTAAAAACTTTTATTTTAGGAATAAATGTTACATACTGAATTATTTGTAAATACAAAACAATCTCCAGATGATCTTAATAATTACCAAATCAATATTACAGAATAACAAACATATGACAGAAACAACGCTTGCGCCAACAATCGTCTGCTCTGTTTTACACTACTGTCTGTTCTGTGCTATGTTACAACAGATTTCAGATACAACAGCTGGGGAATGATGACGATACACTATAATGCTTAGTAAACTGTGATTGAGTGACCATTTGTGTGACCATTAGTGTGATTAGTAACCATGGCAACTTTAGTAAGGCTGTGATTGGGCAATGAGTAGGCCTAAATTTGGCGACTTGTTGAATTTGTGTATGAATTGAAGAGAAACCTAATAAAGAACAGAAAAACAAAGAAAAAGAATAACAAGATTGTTCTCGTTACATTCTTTTTTAAGAGTGTTTTTATCATCTCTAAATAATTTTACACTTTTTTATTACTTATCTATCAATTCCTATGTTGTTATACTGCACCTACCGGTAGCCTATCTGTCTATCATGAGCAGTAGCTTACAACACTTTCTAAGTTTTAATATTTACGTTATTTATATCAATGCAGTGTTTGGCTAGTTATTAGTTGAGTTTGAGTTAGCTATAATTTTAAAATGATTGTGCAATATTGAATTTTGTTTATAAAAATGCAAATCGTGACGTTAATGGCTGTTTACAGCGTTTTAATGGGTTTGTCATCTGTTTTTATACTATATTGGATTAACCATATTTTTCATTACCCCCCAAATGATTTACATGCCCTTCCCTATTAACTCATGTAATCGAGAAGGTATCTACACAATATTGTAAAGTATTGTAGCCTATGCTACTTGATTGTGTTTTAACGAGCTTTATGTTGAACAAAGCATTCTGTGCTAAGTCGCGGTGTAGCTGGACGTGTCTGTACCACGCGTTATCTTTATCTATCACAGCTCACAGCAGTTGAGTCATTCCGTGCCCTCCCTCTTAGATCTCACGTCTTGCTAATCTTGAATAATAACTTCCTACACGAACCCTAAACTATCCAAGAATCCTATTTTAACTAATTGAATTCAATAATATAACTATTGTCATTAATTAATACTTAATAGACTTTCTATCTGGTGACTTTGTAATATATTTCCATTTGAATTTTTTGCAACCCCCCCAAAATTTTAATGACACAGTCTGCGTCACAGCCCCCCCTTGTGGGCACCCCTGTTGTATAACATCTGTGTAACTAATCATTCATTCCAATAAAACTGTATGTTTTTTTTTTATTTCACAAATTTTTTACTGTCAAAAAATAATGCAACATACATCAAACAAACTGATTTCCTACTACACAGCTAAGAAAAAAATTAATAAGCAGTTTTTCATAGAAAGATCACAAATCTTAGGAATTTAATAAAAAATTGTAATTATTTTTTGGGCGGGATTTTAACATTTTTTGGACGGAAATATTTTTACTGTGAGGGAATTTCTGTGTGTGTGTCGATTTTGTTATCTTATCGCCAAAGATAGTACAGCAGTGCTGGGTTTAAATTTCCAGGGGTCGATATGAATCAACAAAATATTGTTGTTCTGAAATTCCACTCAATATTAATTTCACAAACAATTAATCAATATCGATCGTGAATATCCAAACGTAAAACAACTAGTTTCCCTGAATCATAAAATGATGTCAAGTAGGCACTATACCTTAGAGAGAGACGTGTTGATCAGGTCACAAAATGGCACAGACTGTCTGGCGGCGCCCGGTCCCAGTGGTTTTGTTGCACGTCTGGGCCGGTCATGCGCAGAAACCAGTTTTGGCAGTCCGACTCGGCCTCGGCGGCGGCTCCATCGGCGCTCGCGCTAACTGCTTGAGCCTTACCTCACTGTGTTTAACCTCAAAACCCTTTGGTCTTTCGTACTACTTTCGATGACGCTCAACTAAAAACATTTTCTTCTGACTTCCATCGTGATATTCTTAAAAAAGTGAGATGTAAAAAAACAACCCTTACATCCTCCACTCACTTCGTGGAAAGAAAAAAAAGAAACAGAAAAGAAAAAAAAAACTCCTTATCTTCTTCTAAATCAACAAATAAAAATTCTTCTAACTCAAAATCACCGTCTTCAGCTATCTTCTTCGCTGTTTGGATCCAATTCCTTAGGATCTGATAAACCTCCGCAATCTCCTACGGGGCAAATAAAATAAAACTTCTCTCAAACAAAACAAAACTCTTCACTCTTCTGACGGGTTCATCGTTTGTAGGGCACCAGCCCCAACTTACGAATATTAATCCTCTTGAAGGTGTTGGTACCAGGAATTTGCCCCTTCATGGTTCTTCTTTTCCCTCGCGTCTTCGCAGGGCGGTTGGTGGCACCCTCCTCGGGCTTCGCGGCTGGGGTGCTAGTACTCTCGCCTCCTACTGCTGATCTTTGCATCAGAATCTCTGGAGGAATTGCTGTCGGTTCAAAGTCGATCTCCATGGGTTGGGTCGTAGGTAGCTGACTCGACTTGGTTTCCGGTTCGCTTATAATCTCGAAACTCTCGGTGGAAGTCACGCTGACCCAATCACTTAGCCTCCCAGGTGACATCGACAGGGTAGGTGACGCCGGCATCTGCTCCACGCGGACTTCTTCTTCCGTCATCCCAGCCATCTCCAGTAAATCCGGTTTCGTCTGTGAACCTTCTTTCTCATTCTGAGCATCACTTCCCCCTTCCACGGGCATCGCTGCGACATCAGGCAAAGGGTCATCCAGGGCGCAATCGTCCCATTCGCTTTGGCTATCTATGTCTGCCGGTACAATTACCATTGGGACAGGTGGTGCGATACGTTCCAACTCCCGTGCTAACGTCTCATAGTCCCAATCGACCTCCCCTGGGAACAAGTCTTCTTCCATGGGTTGGTCATCCCAGATGGCGGAAACTCGCAGTGCCCTGGATATTTTCCGTCGCATCTCATTCGTATCTACAGTAAAATTTACTAATTTACCTTGTGAAATTTCCACAGCCACAGCACACAGTAGAATGCCACAATCCATGGTGTTCGACATTGGTGGACACTCTCGCCCTTTCCACAATAGCCATTCCTGTTTGGCGCGAGTTGGAGTCGCAACTTCTGCTTGGAAGTCCAGATAGGCCCTCATGACCTCCAAATCTTTGGTTTGGTCCCGCCCTGTCACGGAGTCGTAGGCACTGATTGTTTTCGTCCTGATGTCTGCCACCATCAGCCACCAATGTCCCTCACGACCCAATCGAGGTTCATGGACGGGGACGAGGATTATGTCAAAGTCAAAGACTGAGGTTTTTATGGTGTCTCTGGATCCGATCAAATCCGTGCTATCTCGGGTGCCCCATATCTTAATAATATGATATTTCGAAACACACCGGAGACAGCGGTAGCAGTTGCGGCTCTGAGGGGTGCCAACTCTATCCATTTCGTAAAGACATCTTGAACCACTAGCACAAATCTCGCCCCCTTCTTTGAACGTGGCAGGGGTCCAATCAAATCGGCCGTAACCGTGTACCACGGTCCCTGGGGTTTACGGAAGGCCATCTTACCCGCAGGCTTCGTTTGCTCTACCTTGTGAGCTTGACATACTTTGCAACTCTTTACGTATGACCGCACATCTTTCATCTTCCCGAGCCAATAGTTTCTCTGTTGTATTCGTTTGCCAGTTTTCCGTACCCCAAGGTGTCCGACGGTCTCGAGGTCGTGGTTTTGATGAAGGACCAAGTCCCTCTCGGTACGCTTAACACAAAGCTTCCACACTATAGCTGGATCCACCACCTTTCCTTCTTTTGCATTCCTCCTGGTATACAGCT